TAGCCAGCATGACGGCTCTCATGCAGCCTTGAAACCCGTAGGAAGCCTCCCATAGCCTCTTGATCATGCCCGTAAAAAGCTTGCCATCGAGACTGTTTTAGTACAAGCCCTCAAGTTAAGACACCTTCCAGATGCCTTAGCAGAACCTTGAAAAGCACGTACACAGTCGTACACATGCTTTAAGAAACCGGCTTGTATCTTGGTAAGCGCTTTTATGCGAAGAAGGGCACGCAAGGATGAATGAATTCAGATTAACAGCCCTACACATGTTTCGCGCTGTTGGACAACATAAGCATGCAATATAACGTAATATCACATATATACATATGTACATATATCTATATATACACATATATTTGTATTCTACAAGCACGCACGTATGCAAGCTTTTCTGAAAACGAATACGCGTCTATTTGCATGCATCCACAAATGTCAAAGATACTGCTAGAGAGACACCATGCCACTTTCTCCGGCATTCTTGCGTGATCGCTTCGCAGTATTTTCAAGGGGAGGGGAAGCTCCGCTCAATTCAACGTGTGGTGTTGAGGCCGAGCAGAAGTCAAGACGTCCTTCCGCAGATAGTTGGCAAACTTGCTGAAGATGTCGGTCAGACGACTCGACTCTCGTCGAAGGAAGCTTGACCTCTTCCTCATGTCCTCGCTCTGGCACTTGCTTACTGCAGGTGCCGGCCCCGTCCATGGCTGATAAAGCCAAAGCGGCCGAGGCCAAGGCCAAGGGCAACGTGGAGTTCCAGGCGTCCCGCAACCAGAGAAAGAGCAATAGGGTTTGCGGTTCAAGGGCTTGTCGCCGTCTTCAGAACGCCTGCGTGGATGTGAGGCGAAAAACTTCAAGGAGGCCATCAAGCACTTCACAGAGGCCCGCCAATGGGCAGATCAGAGCAACCTCGTGCCAGCGACATACGACATAGCAGTTTTGACATTGTAACGAGTGCAATCGAGTGCAGACGAAGTTGAAGGGGATCTTCGTCAGGGCAGAAGGGATTGAAGCTTGATTGACAGGCCATCAAGCATGACCCCAGCGACCACGTCTTCTTCTCGAACAGGCCCGCAAGTACACACCCGGCATGCCTCAACATCTGGTGCCATTCGGGAGAGGGTTTTGGACGGCATAATCGGCGGTTCTTGTGAGTTGTCGGACCTCAAATAGCAAAGACATTTTAAGTCTTTCCTCTAGGGGGAGGTCACCGTGCCTGCTCGGCTGAGGTCTGCCTGCTATGCATCTCTCGAGCAGTACGACAAGGCTTTAGAGGCAAGACTAGACGACTGGAGGGTGCATCCAAAGGCTGCAGCTGCACCTGAGTGCGAGTGCCTCCGTCTCCTATGCGCAGGATGGGGCCGAGTGTGTGCGGCTGAAGCCGGATTGGCCCAAAGGATACACGCGAAAGGCGCGACAGAGAAGCCCGACAATCCAGTGAAGGAGGCTGAAGGCTTGAATAAAGGGAACCGAGCGGGCCGCCAGGGACTTGCAGAGTTCTTCTTGAAGAAGTACGACGATGCTGCTGAGACCTACAAGGCAGGCTCGCAAAAGGTGTTTATACAAACTTGGTGCCTCTTCTAAGAACTGATAGGCTGGGCTCAAGCTGGCGCCAGAAGATCAGACCTTGAAAGAGGGCTTGAAGAAGGCCGCGTTGCGACACGCCCCCTAGTTGTGGGAGAGATTGCCTCTCCTTTCATCCGCAGACTGTCCGAGTGCAGCAGGGAAGCAGCCTCCAACAGTTGGCAATTTCATTGTGCTTGCTGGTATTAGTGCCTTCATCACAGAGCTTGTTTTTGTATGTATATATGCATAACTATGTCTTTAATTTTGCATATATATATATATATATGTATGTATGTATTTGTTTCGTCCCTAGCAGCAAAGATTCGAAGGTGGGTGCTCGGCGGCTTCATGTTGCGTATCTGCTCAGGCCATGGATGCCAAATACGACGTGCCTGGTGCAGGCAACTTTTCGCAGCGGCATGGCAGACCATGCAAGGGCATCGCAACCTTAAGCCCTGACGCCCTAAATTCCAAACCCTGAATCTAATCCAAAATCCTAAGCCCTAAACCCCAAAGCCCAAATCCTAAACCCTAACCTTAGATGTTGCATTTCACGCTTTCGGCTCTGTGATTCGGCTCAAATCCAACCTTTCCGGACCTTTCGATCCTCAGCTCCGGTGCACCGGCACACCTTCGGCACTGACAGGCCCAGAGAAAGACAGAGGGAGTGTAACAATAACCGTTTAGGGTTCAGCATGGCCAACTGAAAGCAAGAGAATGGTGAAGTCACTGTCTTGTGTGACGCGAAGCCGCCGATACGATTGGTGAAGAATCTGCGAAGATGGGCACCCGGGACCTTACCAAGTCTCCCTCCTGCTTCTTTCTGGCCTGTGGAATACATGGGCCTCATTCCCTCTCCTGCCAGGATATTCTGCAGGCGTCATGCTGAGATCTCTTCCGAGGCCTTCCAATGTCTGTTGCATGCATCTGCCGACACGGCATGAGTGGTTGAAAGGTTGTTTGGGAAAGCCGTAGCAGCACGGGTGGATATGTGCCACCACAAGAAACATCAAGTCAGCAGCCTCTTCATGTCAGAAGTCTGGTGGCCTGTGCAGGCTGATGTGCATTGGCATAGTGGCGGCCCAAAATTGGCCTGGTTGTCAGGCAGTTGATGCACACATTGCTTTTCGCTGCGCAGTGTTTGCATGATGCCTGGCTTACACCGCGCAGAGCTCTATGCACTCAGCGACAGAATCTTGAAACAAGGCTGCAAGAGGTCTACTTTCGAAATAAGCAAGAACATAGTGTGGAATCATGCATCCTGTCAGCCCTGGAACATAGCAACATTTTCTTTTCTGCTATGGGCATATGCTAGCCTTGTAGAGGCTCATAAGAGAGTCTCTCGACAGGAGCAGAACACCGTCATCAGGAACGCCGGGCAGGCATTGTTCACCAATCTGCAGGCGGCCTCAACGGAAACTGCATCTTTCCACAAGAGGTCTTGTGCTACAGGCTCCAAGTCCCCCACATCATTCGCCTGATTCGAAGAGAATCTTCGCAGCCTGAGGGCTACGGAGCGACCATTGGCTGCTTCCTGGACGACTGCATGAGCTCTGACAAGCTCCCCGGCTTGAAAGAACTCCTTGCCTGTAACGCCTATAGACATGACAGTCTCTTAGGCCGGCAGACCCGCAGACCCGTCCCGAGCCATCCTTCGCCTGGCAGGTTTGTAGCGAGCGAGATCGAGTCCTGTGCCAAGGCCTTTGCCTTGGCCTGTTCCACCACTTTTTGGATCCTTTGATTGTCCTTTCGGTCCTGTCGACAACTTTCATTAGAGCAACCTCAATTTTCTGGCAGGTTTGCTTCTCCTTGCCAGACTGCAAATTCTGGGCTCGGCCCTTGGATTCTACTTGGGGGTGGTAAGATTGACGAAACCGTCTTCTGCCAGGTCTGGGGCACCGAGGAAGGAGAGCAGAAGTGCTGGTTCCGGACGGGGAGAATTGGAGCGCCAATACATATATATATATATATATATACATATATATATATATATCTACACGTGTGTATATACCTATTTCTATATATATATATATATATATATATGTATATGTATATGTACAAGTATATATGTACACATGTATAAAGAGATACACACACATATGTATATATATATATATATGTAAAAATATGTATACATATATATATATATATCTATACATACATCTACACACACACACACATATATATATATATATATATATACATATACATACATACATCTACACACACATGTATATATATATATATATATATATATGTATATGTATATATATATATAAATATATGTATATATGTATATATGTATATATGTATATATATATGTATATATATATATATGCACCGAAAATAAAATGTACAATATGTACGTCTGCTTTGTGAGGACCGGGGAGGCTGGCCGGGAAGCCGGAGAGGGCTGGGTGTCGGGCTCCAAGGCCCGGCCCCGCTCCGCACGAAGGGGGCGATGCGAGCTCTCACTGCACATGGCACTCAGGGGCGCTCTGTTCTGCTACACTGCGTGATGTATCTTTGTGATCAAAGATCTATGACCGATGCGACACGTGTATGCGCAGACTCCGGGGTCAAACGCTTCAAATGCCAACTGAAGCAGACAAGTCTTTGTGCTGTTGTGTAAGCGCCGTCTCGGGCCAGGCGTGCGCTCCGCCAGGTACGACCGTGCACAACCCAGCTGACCAGTGACCGGAGGTTATTGGAGCGGTGAGAGAGCCGGCATGGCATCGTGTTCTGCAAGGCTGGTGAGAGTGGAAGCAGCTTTTGCTCCGTGAGGTCATGCCCTTGGGCAACTCCGAGTGCTGGGCAGAGGGCTTCGGCTACGAGAATTGCCGCTGGCCGAGGGTGGCGACGTCCAACTGGTAAGCTCTCTGCCAGTTCCCGTCGCTCCGAGGCTGTGAAGCGAAGTTTGGGCCGAACGGCAACGCACAGTGCTGGGTGCGCCTGCAAGCAATTGTTGTGGTCTCGTGGAAAGCTACTCGTACGGCAGTGTTGTTCCTTGTGCTATTTTGGGATGTTGCTGGCTGACGCCAGGACGGTGTCTACAACTATGATCGCTGCTGCTTCCCAAAAGAGGAACTCTGAGCCGCAACATTTACGGTGCCAGCAGTTCGGGCCTCAAGGCAACTCACGCATATCGTGCGCTACGGATGCTACGGTATGCTACGGTCGCCAGGGCGTGCATCTAGGCCCTAAGCGGATTACAGTACTGACGGCACTGACGAGTGCGGGCCCGCTGTTGGGCTTTGCCGCTTCAAAGTCGACCCACTGAAGTTGCCAACATATGCGGGCCTGCGACGTAGAAGGCTTGGAATCAGAATCCATTCCCGCGATGCTTGTGGATGTTATCAGATCTACGTAAAGAAGCAGACCATGCCCGGTTAAATCATATCCACAACTGCATCCGGGGTGGACTTGTGGTTCAGCCACATCAATGGCTTTGTAAACAAAAAAGGTCGCAGAAGCAGGACGACCGGTTTCCATCTGTGCTCAAACCTATATCAAGCAGTACCGCAGTGGTGATGTTATGTTTTGGGACACGAAACAGATGGCCGACGCTTTGATGCCCTGGCTGCGGCATAGTCGGTGTTTTCGCGAAATTACAGTCAATTGAGCTCCAGCATGGTGCAGCAAAGCAACTCAAGTGCCATGCACGGGTCACTGGGTGATCCCGAGAATCTAAAGAATGTCAAGAGCGTCATCTAAAGGACATGCACCAGGCATTGGATACGTGCTCGGTCTTTGACCACGTTGCTGATCGTGTGACTTAAAAGGGACTCAGAGGACATGATGAGCTCTGATCCCAGTCTCCAGGTGAGCGCAGCGAGAAAAGTCTTCGGAAGCTTCGCTCTGCACACAACTCCTCATGTCATTGAACTTTGCGGCCAGTAGATGAGCACTCTGCAGCCCACAGGTGCAGGTGCTGGCGGAGGCGGCGGCGGCGGCCTGCAATTTGACCCTGCTGTCGGAGACCCGGGATCGTAGGTAAAGGCTTCTTTGGTGAACGAAACCTTCAACAACTTCCTCTTGTTGAAAAGAGCTCTGTGCTTGCACACGCCCCTACCTATAGTCGCTGCAGAACCCAGCCAGGCTGCCAGACCCCCGCAGTGTGCAGTGTGTCGTTCGTTCACGCATGAGCCATCTGCTGAGGCTCTTACAGCTGCGGCAGTCAGAAATCCCAAGATCAAGGCAAGAAGAAGCAGGGTCGTGATTTCTTGCTTCACCCACGTGGCGCGAGCGATGCCAGCGGCCACTCTCCGACTCTCCAGGAGTACATGCAGGACCAGGAGCTGATGCAGAAGGCCCCCGGCTGGGAGCCTTCTGTCGCAACATTCCCAATCTGCTTCAGTGACGAGCGGTTGGAGTTCGTCCAGCTGCCTTGAGACTCAGATCGACATGTGGGGATCGTGGGGGGCTTTGCTCGCCGCCTTTCTTGGATGAGATACGGGTGTTCGTGATGCCACCGACAAACCTGTTCGGTAATTCTGCCCTCTCAGCCGGAGTCTACAGTTACTCATCCTTAACGTAGTTAATCCAAGTTCCAAATTTCAGCGTTTTGGCGTATGTAGGTTCCAGGCCTGTTTCCGGACCTAAGCCCGCAGCTTCTCATTCGAGAAGCCAAGAAGCCAGCGCCACATAGCTTCTCACCAAGTTGCAAGCTTCAACATCCACAAGCTCGACTTCTGTCTGTCGAATTTTCGTGAATTGCCTTCATTCCGAAAGCAAGCACATACTCGAACAGGGCTCGAACAGGCTTTCAGGAGATATCCGGATCCGGATAAGTTTGTTCGAAAGGAGTGCTGATTCGAACGGAGTTTTCATCCGAAATGCGCACGGCTTAGCTTCAGTAGCAGCCGTAAGCAGGCCCATGTGTTGTGTTGGGCTAGGGTAAGCTGCTCCAGAAAATTCAGACGCCCGTTGGGACCTTAAGCATCGCCGGAATTGTAGAGCAGCCTTGGGCAGGTGCAGATGCTGGCCTCACTCCCGGGGAACATGCAGCAGCAGATGATCATGCAGATGATGAACCAGGACAACTTCTGCCGACAAGCCGTGGCACAGACAACCTCTCTCTCTCTCTCTCTGTCTCTCTCTGTCTTTCCCTTTTGGTTCATGTCCCAAGCTGAGCGAAGCATGAGCATCGATGACTTGGTCGAAAGATGTGGGACATCATCCCATTTTGGACTGTGTGCTGTTGTTGTGTCAGGACAAAAGAGTACTAGAACTCTTCATGGCCATGCAGGGCATCGATGTCAGCACCATGAGTGTTGCCGACAGAGTTGCCCCCCTTCCGGCCTGCTGCATGGCTTGCTGCCCGAGCCCATAAGATTGAGCCCTAGGCCCATTGCAGTGCTTCAAATGGACGCTTGACACTTGAGATGGCTCATGTGCTTTGCTGTTCTGCAGTGCTGCCAGGCGGTGAGGATTTCGGCGATGCCACGGAAAGGCCTTCTCCTGCTCCCAAGAAGAAGGAGGAGCCGAAGAAGGAAGAGGCTCCGCCCGAGGCGCCCGCTGGGAAGCCTGCCCTGGAGACTCCACCCGGAAGCAAGCGAAGCATCAAGCTTTAGCCGAAGGAGCAATGGCCTTCATGCCCTCTTAGCTCTGGAGCAATGGTTTGTCTCTGCACGGTCGCCTCGGTCAGGACCTCAGGACTCCCGAGCAGAAGGAGGCAGACGACTGGAAGACCAAAGGCCGGAGATGTGGAAAGCCCTTCCTTGAGTACAGGCGGTACATGGCAGGTTTCAGTCGGTCTCAACGGTCTTCCGAGCACGGTTAAACAGGACAGAGGCTCTTAGACAAAGTTTGCTTTTCGGTGGATGTGCGGGTGAGCGACCAGGTCAGCATAGCAGTTCTGATCCTCCACTTTCATTCTCAGCCAAAGTGTAGTCACCAACAGCCGCAGGCAACGAGTTGTACAAGAAGAAACAGTTCAAGGAAGCCCTGGAGATGTACGACAAGGTGTCCGATGCGGCTGTGCTGAAACTCTGCAAAATCTCTCAAGCGCTGAGCTTTTCAACGCTTTGCAGGCGATCGCCGTCGTACCTGACGACATCACATACCACAACAACAGGAGCTTTTTGCCGGAAGGGCGTCGTAGTCAAACGCACTTGTACTGAAGTGAGCATTATGAGCCTCGACTATGTGTGAGTGTTGCAAGTGGACCAATCACCTTCAAGAGTCGTAGCATGCTGCACTTTAAGAGGGCCAGCCGGCTGTAAACGTTCTGCTCTGCGCAAGCGTGAGGTCGTCCTTTCTGAAGGCATGCAGTGTGCCAGGAATGCCGTCCTCATTGAGATGGGAGCAGAGCCACGGACCCAACTGGTCAAGCACTGCGGGATGCATGATCCACACGTCGCGGGTCCAGATGCCTTACAGGTTCTCATGGCAGACTCTGCTTCAACATGGTTCTGGAGTATTCTGACAAACAGACTGCAGGTGATAGGTCCTGTTGCCACTACTGCTTTTGGCTTCGGGCGTCGAGTCCCACTACGTCAATTCCTGCTTGGTAATGGCATGTGATTGCCAAGGCACTTCGACGAGGTCATCAAAAGCTGCAAAGATCTCATTGACCGAAGATATGAGATCAACAGGCTTGGAGCATGGCAATGATTTTTTACGGGCTCGCGGCCGAGTTTTGACGAGTGGAAGTTCGCAACAGTCCTTTCTTGAGATGCCTAGGGCCTAGAAGAAGATGCGGCAGAGTGATTTCGGTAGACGGCCGTCGCAGTGCGAACCCTGGTGGCGCATCCTTCGAGAAGGTCGCCAAGGTTGGGCCCGGGGGGCTGTCCGCTCAGTGGCTCGGGGCTCTGCGGCCGTGTCGCAATGGCAGGTTTTCCAGAGGATGGCTTCTGTTTACGAGAAGCAGAACAAGTGCCCATGCGACAACAGACTTCATAAGATGGTTGGTTTTGGCAAGTCGCAGTGTTCACAGCCGTGCCTGTCTTCTAGTTTTCAAAGTCTGCAGAACTGGACAGCAGTGACACGCCATCTGCTCATTGAAGCCCAGCAGCCGCCCCTGCAGAATTTCAAGCCATCCTGGCAGCTGCCCACAGCCAACCTGCTACTTGCAATTTCGAAAAGCTCTAGCAGCTAGCGCCCTGGAGGTATGATGATGCGATTGCCATGTACAACAAGGCGCGGCTCTTTGCGCAGCTCTGCTGCGCACCATGGTTGGGTAGCACACATGGCCCCACCAATGCTCCGAGCCATTCAACAAGTCTGCAGACTGACTCACAGGCGCTGACCGAGGACAACAATCGGAGCACTCGCAACTCCTTGCGGGACCGGGCACCTTTTTGAGTGAGACCGCGTTCAGACGGCCCGTTTCCCTCCAGTTGCAATCCACAAGCACTCGTCACAGCGAAGGTGGGCACGAAAGGGCTGCCTCTCGGATTCTTCTGTTCTGGCACTCAAGCAAGGAGTGCGAGAGGGCAAAGGAGAAGCATGAGAAAGAAGCCTACCTCGACCCGGCAAAGGCTGCGGACTGTGCTCACTGTCACAGTCTGCTGAACGTCAGTGAGTCAGGCCGAGGAGCACAGAGAAAAGGGCAACGAGTTCTTCAAGGCAATACCTTGAACCATGTTCAGCCCTTCAGGGCCTTCGGCCCTGCTCTTGTAAAGCGGACACCGCGGATATGCTGTCCCAAGGCTCAATGCTCACAATGCAAAGCGCACATGCGCATGTTGCGAAGTTGGCATCGATGTAAAGTTGGAAAGCCGCTGGAAACGTCCGAAATTGAATAGCGAGTTAGACAACACTGGCAGAGTAGGTACTGATACTCCATGCCACGCACAAGCGGCACCATCGCAAAAGCTCTGGTGACTAGGCACGAAGCTACCAGACGCAACTCACGAACACAGCTATGATGCATGACAGAGCAAGTGCCATGTCACCGTCCCCGCAGCTCGCCGGGCAGCACCAGAATACACTTACACAGCCTCAGACACCTCAGTCCTTTGGACCGTCGAATCGTCAGGAGGCAGAAACAGACTCGACTCCATCCGGTCAGGGCGGTCAGGGCCAGGGCCAGGGCGGGCAAGCCCAGGCTCCCCAGGCTCCCCAGGCTCCGGCGCAGGCTTGGCATCGACCCTGGGAGACTTCAAGGGATCGCTCGAGCTTTGCGATTGGCTTCTCCACTTCCTTAGTGAACGATGTCTTTATCGAGCTCTCCCGAACCTTCATGCTTGCTTTGCGTCTTGGCATTGCGGAAAATCCCCCGGCGCACAGCTCTGAAGCGACCGTTCGCCCATCCGACTTGTATTTCCTCCATGTGATCATGCATAGATGCCACGATGCTCTGTCTAAAGTCGTAGGACTTATGTCGACAGAGCAGCGATCGCTTTTGCAGCAACTCATTTGGCTGTCCACGGCGCAAGTTGTGATGCTGCTGTTGATGGTTCACATCGCCTTTGTTTGTCCATATACGCAGATTGACTCCTCGTTGAGGCTGTCGCGCTTTGTAGCACAGGAGGGTGGGTGGGAGTCCTTCCGCTGCTACAGCAACGTTGAAAATTTGACGGCTCATGCCACCGAGTCACCGACTATTGTTCGTGTGGAGCTGCTAGACACTTGGTGGGCGCGGCCACCGCCAGTGCCCGCATCCACTTTCTCGACGCTTCAAGAATTCCTTGACAACACAACTCAGGGAGCTGCTGTCAAACCGCCACTGTTCAGTGAGACAGGGGCAGGTTCAAAGAACGACACAGAGGATGGAAGCGACATTCTAGCAAACGTTCTGCGCCGTTTGTCTGCCCTGGCCTACGTCGGCTACGATGCTGCGTTTCCCAGACCAACGTATGAGGTGACTGTAGGGGCAACTGCCCCATGGCTGGACATAGAATCCACGGCATTTAGAGATCTCGGTGTGCGAACGAAGCATGTGAAGATCTCAGTTGAGGATCCCAAGTATTTCGGTATCTACTTGGCCAGGACTCTTCTGTCCAGTCTCGGCCTGCACGACATATACATGCAGCATGCTCTCCCACGGCATTTCCTCACGGACTCCGATGGTCGAATTTGTGGTACCGACTTCCGGCCTTCCCTGCATATTCGCACCGTGACTTCAAAACGCGGCATATCTCTGCAGCCTGTTGAATCCAGAATTGCTGCCGGCCACAAAGGCTGGGTCCTTGGGACTGTCGTTTCTAACTTGGGCAGCAGTTTGCTGTTTCTTGGTATGGCGATCGTGTCGGCAGTTCTCTTTAGCGCATTCTTGCGGAGGCTCCTGGTATTATCCTGCCGAATGTACATATACAACATGCTCTGCTTGCGACAGATGCGACACTTCGCTTTCATTGCCGAGCAGATGCGACGAGTGAACCGAGCTCCATCGACGGTCCTTATTGAACTTTGGATCGCCTGGGCAGCCTCTGCAGGAATCATGCTCTGGATCTTAATCGAGGCGCTGCAGACGTCCTTTGTCTGGTTCCTGTGGATTCTGTGCTACGCCCTCGCGGAGTTTTGGGGTCTGGCCCATGTGAGAACCAAGCAAAGCCGATGGCTTTATCCGCGAAGTCTCCTGTTGCTGCATGCAGGGGCAGCAGTGTATGCTTACTGGTGGCCGCGGGGTCCATTGTGGCTGCTTCTTGCCAGCCTTTTCTGGGCTCATGCGTCTATCATGTTCACATTGATCAGTGATTTGGACTGTTGCTTCGCACTCCCCTCCGAGCCACCGAACGAGGTCCTGGCTGCCTCACTGCTGCTGCCCGCAATGCCGCTGTCCCGCTCTGAGGTCTCGAAGCCATTCCATCCTGGCCCCGGCCGCGACGACACGCTCTCCGTCTCCGAGACGGGCAGCCCGGGCAGTTCTGAAGCAAACGTAGAGTGAAAGCTCAGGCCCAGCGAGGGCAAAAACGGCTCAATAGCTCTGCTTTTCACTTCTAGGACCTCCGAATCCAGCCTCTGCCTCCTCATTGGTCAGTTACACCAGGTATCGATTTTGCAAGTTGGAAGAACCCGATAGCATGATGCATGCCGTCCATTGTGCCTGATAGGTCTGTGCGGCTCACAACCATGCGCAACTTGCGTGTTTCCCGTTGCAGGAGAAGAAGTATGCAGAGGCCAAGGCGGAATACGACGAAGGCCTCAAACGCAATCCCAAGGACCTTTGGGGTCCACGAACTGGTTCGAGCGCTTATGAAACATCAGGTGGTCAGGACTAGGTCTAGGTCCCGCTATCGGTGGCCGCTTACGCCATAATGAAAATCGTGGTCATTCCGTAGTATTTAATATTTCCAGGCTTTGCTCGCTCCTTGGCTTGGGCTCAAGTCGACCTTTCGCCACCTGTTGGGGGCCTTGGCGGGTCATGGGAGGACGTGAAGAGACCCGGTGCCTCGGATGATCTCGGACTTCTGAGCTTTCAAAAGAGTCACGCTGTAAGTCCCAGCCGCTGTAGGGATGTTGAAGAGCTTCCGCTTCCCAGACTTCTGGCGAAGGAGTGGTGGGGATGTTTTCATAGTCGAGACGCAGAACCGAGGTACTGAACCAATTCAGCGGCTGCGCTGCTGTGCCTTCTGGCCCTGCCTTGGTGCCAAAGGTAGACTTTAAAGACACTGCACAGCACAGTATGCATGTGAGGAACGGAATCTTGCATCTCCGCTTGATTTGAAGCGATGTCTTTGTTAACCTGAGCAATGGATCTTGTATTCTGAGCCAGCATCAACTCAACGCGATCTGTTTCGGTCGTGTGTTACCGGTCGACATCTGCAATGCTCGCCTCTCGCGTCCTCACGCTGCTTCTGGTCCCAGCGCTGGCCGGAGACGGCTACGACGGCACAGGTGCGAGGCCTAGGCCCCTAGGCCTAGGCCCGTTTGCCGACGGCATGCTGAGTTCGCTTCGCTGCCAAATTGTGAGAGTCTTTCCTTGCCCTGGAGGTTCGGAGGGCAGAGGAGCCACAAGGCTGGACTTCAGGTCGACAGATTTTGGATCACTAAGCGAACGATTTGCACCCCGACAGGTGCACAAACAGCTTGACGCTACTCCAGGCTGCTGGTCGAGTATATCACTCACACATCCTCATGACACATGGGCATCTGGTTCCTGTACAGGCCACCTCGCAGAAATCCCGCACTGTCGTCCAAGGCCTGTGAGCCCTGCAAGAAGCTCGGATACACTTGTCCATCATTCTAATCTTCTGCTGAAGGCGATGTGGATGCAGAGCTGGTAAGGCCTTCACAACCAGCAGAGGACATCTGTACACTGTGCTTAGTGTTCCCGCGCTAGGACAGTTGTCAGCAGCACATTGGCCCCGCGGACCTCCTGTGTTTGTTGAGTCTCTGAAACTCCAGCTTCTTGCATGTTGGTTCACGGAGTTGACGACGTTTCGGTTTTTGTATGCAAGACTTGTCTTTGATTGGTTTCCTGTGAACCTCAGAGTAGATGTGATGCAACAGAAGCCAGCTTGCATGTGGACCCGGGGAGGAAGCCGCGCTGCACAACAGTTCTCACAGCCTGCAAAGTCGTCGGGCTTTGTTGGAACGCACTGTGCTCTGGCTGATAAGAGGGATCCAGACCACTTGGATGCGATGCATCGCGTGCCGAACCATTCGGAGCAGTTGGGCCCCATCCCCTTTGCCATATGTCGGCACTGTGCTATGGAGCTGCACGACATTGCGATATGCACCTGAGAAGCTTTGCCACACTCCATTCGCGTTCCGGAGAAGCCCTGGTGGCCCAGGTCCGATCTTGGGCGAGCGGCGTGAGATCTTCCCTGCTGCAGGTGCCAAGCACTACTCAGCTCAGCAAGAGAATGTGGCTGCCATGCGGATTTGCCACCGTTTGCGAGTCTTAGAGCAGGGCAGTGAATGCTTGCGCTATTCTAAGAACAAGCAGATGAGTCCCCCATCAAGGAAATTCCTCAAGTTGCACAAGCCCTGCCAAACATCCCGGCCACTTCATGTCGTCACTGATTGGAGATCAGAAGGTACGAGCTGCGTCGTTTGGATACACCACGGTCTCTTTCCTGATCCTTGGTGTCCTGGCCCACGGCTCAGGCCAGTGCTGAGTATGGCGTTGGCCCAGGACCGTTCAACCTCAAAACCTGAACCTCCAAGTCTTGCATCCCAGGTGCTCAGTACGATCACTGCCTTCCTTTTCACCCGTCCAGACTTGCCCATGGCGCGCAGCGACGCCAAGGAGAGACTAATCGCAACATGCTTCCCTCGTTCGAGAGGTTACATAGGCTGAGCAGGGCTGTTGGCAAGAGTTGCCGCCACGAGAAATTTGCCGCAACGGGCAGGAGGTCAGGCTGCCAGCGAATGCGCTGGCGCAGCCTCGAGGTGCGCCCCGCAGAGTGCAAAACTCTCTGGAACAACATGACCTGCTACTGCAGAACTGCAGGAGTCCAACGCCCCGTCTGTCAGAGTCTAGCAGCCGTGCAAACGCAGCATTGGCAGGCAGCAAGTCCTTTGCAAACTCCTTGCCGAGCACGGCTCTTAACCGCCTCTGTCCCGCTGCCCGCCGCGCTGCCTTTCCTTCTGTCCCGAATGGGAGCTTCCGAAAAACAGGGGTACCTTGTCGTGGGGTCCTGATAATAAGGATCCTAGTACTTAGGGCACTATTTTTGGCTCCCCTGCTTTCGGAAACTCCCAAGTGCCGAGGCCGAGCCAGCTACATGCAGGCTGCCGGCTCGGCGCGAAACATACTGAGAATGGTAAGCTATTAGGGGTTTAGGGTTTAGGGTTAGGGGTTTAGGGTTTAGGGGTTTTAGGGTTTATGTTAGCTGTTAGCCAAGTCTGCAAAGGCACAGACTCAGCTCTTTTTTCAAACAGTGGAAGGTGGCATCTCCCTCGCCGACCCGCGAGGGGAGTGATCTGGATGAGAGGCGCCGGGGCAACCTTCCAGTACAATACAAAATCCTCTTCTTTTGAATACAGTGTAACATATAGTAGCATAAATAAATGTGATGATATGGTATTTCTTACAACACATTATATATATATATAATACATACACCTATTCATGTCCAGACTTTGGGCCCGCTGCGTGGCAAAGCTCTGCACAGGGCTGAAGCTCGCGGAGATTTCTGTCCAGACCTGATCGTGCCTCGGGGCTGCTTCTTGGGTCGCAAGGGTGCAGCAACCACGAATGACTCCAGCAACCGAAGCAGCATCCTGCATATGCTCGAAGCTAAGGTGAATGTGTACTGCTCGTTCCCATCGTGCCCCTTTCACTTGGGCCATTTAGCAACTTGCCAGAACAGCATTTGAGACGAGCCTTGACATGGATACACAAGGACCGCATTCAATCAATATCGTGCCATGTGGTGCTTCGTTTGTATGTGTGTGTGTGTCGTGAAAGGAGGAAGCGATGTTTATGCACTTCACACCTTCTTTGTAATAGTACGCATGCAGGTGTTTGCGACCCCAATGGCCACGTTGTCCTTCGCGTCCTCCCAAGGAGCTTGGCCCAGGTCTGCTCCCCACGCAAGATGTCTTCGCGCCGCCGGTCGCGCGCGCTTCCCTGCCCTGTCAGGGCTCGTCTCCATCCTCTCCAGATCCGCTGAGGCGGGGACCGGGGACGGTCAGCTTCCCGGCTTCCCTTGACCATCCTGAACCTCTGCACAGAGGCGCTCCACATCCATGGGAAGGAGGTCTAGAGCGAGGTCTGTTAGCTTTGGCCCCGATGCATTGCACCGGGCTCAGATGGTGAGTTTAATCACCAGGTCGAGGTTCTTGCACACGGCATGAGTGCCGAGACAAAGAAAACCGGATGGGTTGGAACGCTTTTTTAATGTCGGCTGCACCCAGGGGCAGCTCCTGGCGATTGGAGCTGACTACAGGCTCTGGAGAGCTTCTTGCGCAGCAGCTCGGCCGAAGAAGCAAGGTTCGGCTGCTCGGGCGTTGCCCCTGCATGGTGAAGCAGGTTCGAGAGGATGAGACGTTGGCGTCGTTGGCGTCGTTGGTCGTTCCAAAGCAACGCAGTCCTTGCTACAGTACAGAGAGTAATCAGCATTTTTCAGGAGAGTAGTTAGCAACGTCCGGTGGGCGTCTACGCGTAAGCTGATGGTTGTGCGTTTGGGTCTTCAGGTCCGCGTGCTGCCGAAATGGAAAGTCAGAAGCTCAACTCGTCAGCACGACCGCGCAGCTGACGAGCGTTTGCTTGATTCGCTCTGAAGGGTGAGCCCCGAGTGGAGCAACGATGGCCCGTCTTTCTCCCTGATGACTTCCACCGGTGCGGGGAGCTCAGGGGATCCTTGAAGGAATTCAGTTATCTTGGGAAAACCGAAGGCTTGTGTCGTGATGATTAGTGACACAGATCTTCCCAAAAACTCGCGCTGCAAGCGGCATTTGCTGAGGTCAATTATGCCACCTTGCGCCGCAACAGCACGCAGGACACCTGCATGCACCTGGCGCATGCTTGCTGGCGCTGTGATTGGCAAGCCCACTTTGGCTCCCTCGTTATGCTGGGGAGGAAGGCTACGAGCTGGTGACTCCAGAGCGCACCATGCACTTCTGGGGTTCTTTCGACCACCATGCCGTCAACATCACCGATGAGGCGAGTCGAGCAGGAACACGTCTTCTCAAATGGTCCCCGAGCGATTGCCCCTGCAATTCCAGGACCCCTGAAATTCAGGCACTTCACGAGTAGTCACCCCCGAAGAAAAGCCAGGCGTTTTGCCCACGACTAGCTCTAGATAAGCAATAGATCGAGACTCGATGTCCCAACGAGGCAGGGAAGCTGCTGGCAACCACAGAGCTTTGTGCGGCAGACTGGGATCCAACCGGAGAGCGCCACGGCAGTAAGATATGTTCAGTCGCGCGCCAACTTGCGATTTAGGTAGTAGGAGACATGGGAGGTTCGGAGGTTGGTGTACCGTTCACGATGCAGCAAGACGGCCCGGGACTCCTCTGGTCATGTAGCATACCAGGTTCTACCGCCTCCGTGTTGCGCCACTCGTGGATGTGGGCCTGCTGCTTTGCAGTTTGGTCTGCATCGACCAGGCCCTCCAGTCGTGAGATTCGCGAGTTGGAGGGGTCCGGGGAGAAATCTGTGCCAGGTGGCGGCCCTTGTGCGACGCACCTAAGCCGGTGAGCCTGACTCGGCTGACTCCTTGCTCCGGCCAGCAGCGCCAAGGACCTCTGCTCAAGATGTGCACTTGAGAGGAGCCTTCTGGGTGTCCATCCCGGATGGCAGCTCTTGATGCGTTGCGGCGACGGTAGAGCTTGACCCGGCAGAGTCGTAGATCGGTCCTGACCAGTGGCGCAGGATTTCACGTGGGAGTTCAGCGTGTGTGAGAGACGGCCTTAGGTACTGACGTGGTGAGGCTTCGCAAAATCTGCAACTCGCCTCGCGTTCGAGTTGCTTCGAACGTCTTTTTTGCATGTTCCTGATATGAACTGTGCTGAACACACCTTGTCCATGCTCAGCAGTTTCGCATTGGACTCCTGTTGGCCATAGTGCTAGAATGAACACAGGTTTTGTCTTCAGGATCTGTTTTCAAGATTTGCCCATCAAGAAACTGCTGCGCGCGTCGTGTGCCCGGCACAGGGCACATGTTGCCCTTTTGGTGCAAGGCTGGGGCCAAGACATTACAGATATTTGTCACTCAGCTCTTGTACGGCGCTCGGCTAGTAACTCTTCAGTCGTTTTTGTTTCTACAGTTCAGCTCGATACTGTAAATGCTCCAAAACTTTTGCCCCGCCGGGGTTCAGATGCTTCTTTTCGATGTGGCCAATCAGCATGGGATGCAGTAATTCCGATTCATATAGCTACGTGTGGGAGCGAGACTTGCGTTTTTCTGCTGGGGCGCTGGCTGAGTGAGATTGCCAAGAGCATGCTGTTCGGCTTACAAGAAGCTCTGCAGCTTGTCCTGCCGCTGACACTGTAGTGCTCACAGCCGCACAATGTTCAGAGTTCTGCTCAAGAGCAAGATGGGTGGTTGTTAAAATTATGGTTCGGCACCTAATATTTATGGTACCCAAAAAGGGACCCTAATCTTTGACCACGACCCAGATTGTGGTTCACCCGGAAGGAGCGGCTGTGAGCCACGAAGGAAACGTTTCTCGGAGTGCCAAACTCCTGCGAATTTCATGCAGCTGCCGCTGAAACATCATGTTGGGAAGTCAAGGCAGTTGGACAGTTTTGAGAGATTTGCGCCGCCTTGCCGCGTAAGATATAGCCGCAGGATCACTAGAGACCCTGGCCGAAAGACATGGCAGCCACGCACTGGTGAGGATGCAAAGATGTACTCCAACAGGGCAGCCGCGCTGACCAAACTGTTGGCGTACCGGACTCAGGATGCGAACGCCTTCCAGATTCCAGTTTGTTTCAAACATCCTTGCTCACAAGACATGACGATGGTCGAACAGGGTGTTCCAGCAGCTTCCGAAAGCTTACTGCATGCGAAGCAGTTTGGATGCCACGGAATCTTCCGAAGCGAGGTATCCTGATGCTCTTCGAGACCTGGATGAGTGCCTCAAGCTGGCGGGGAATGCTGACAGCTCGCTCTGAAGACCAGAACTGGCAGACTCTAACCTTCAGGACCCCAGCTTCGTGAAAGCGTATTCCAGGAAAGGAGCAGCGCAACCAGGCAGCATTGAGCAGAAATTCAGAAGAACTACGGGAACAAGGCAGGCATCACTCGGGGCCCATCGCACCCAAGAGAGAAGCACCAAGACCGAATGCCAAGGCACTTCTTCATGAAGGAATACCACAAGTCTCTGCAGGCTTACGAGCAAGGACTTTTGGGGTAGCTGACTTGGCAACGCTACTACCTGTTGCCTTTGCTCCCAGTGCAAGAACGCAATCAGTCCCGCCTCATGACTGTAGAGCCTGAGCTGTGCAGGATTGAAGCTGGACCCTGAAAACGCGGACCTCCTCTCTGCAAGCGCATGCTTTTCAGTCATGTAGCTGTATTGCTCAAGTGCAGGGAGTGGACAGCAGTTGACGTACGTACACCTTTAGTTTCCTTCCTGGAAACATGCACGCCAGTTGTGTAAGCTCGCGCAGCTGCATTGTTTACCCGTAGCATGAGGAACGGAGAGAATTGGGTCCAGAGCCTCTGTGTCTGCGTGCGGGTATGATATACAGTTAACCGAATGTTTATACACGCTTTCGTCATAATCCTAGCAAGTGGGAACTGTAGTTGGACTCACCTGCCGTGCTCGTTGCCTTGCCAAGCCCGATGCAAGTTGGATCATGGCTGTTCCTTCAGGAGTGCAAGCAGGGCCGAGACCAGGTCCTGGCGAAGATTAGCGAAACCTCTAGAAGTACAGAGGTGGGTTCGCAGTGCACGGTGCTGTGATGCGTACCGTGACAGGTCTTAGTCGTTACGAAGCCGACGGTAGTGGAGGGTGGAAGAGCAGCGAGGTGTTTCTGCGTTGCCGATCGGCTCGAGCTCTTAGAGCTAGAGTCGGCCCTAGAGTCTTGAAGTTGAGAGATCAGGCTTCTCGCTTGGCCATGCGTCGAAGGCTGCCAGGCAAGCCCAAGCTGCAGAGTGAGAGAGGTGGCGGCCGAACTGCTTTGTGTGGGCTTGCAGCCCTTCTGCTTCTCACCGGCCAGTGCTGCAGCTTCTTCCTTCCGTCGCCTGACAACGCGACGGCGCGGCGAGCAGTGGCCACCGAGGCCGCCACAGCCACCAGTGAGGTGGCAGAGTGGCGGAGACCTCCTGGAGCCCCGAAGCCTGAGCAGCGTTGGGGCTTGTGGCCTGCCCTGCCGATTGCTCCGTACGAGCGCCGAGTAACACTGCGATACGAGGTCATCCCAGGCCGGACTCCGGACAGTGCACAGTGCAAGGCCCAAGTAGCTCAGTTAAGTAATTGGAGTCCGATCAGGAAGCTTGCGAGGCATTCCGCCGGAAGTTGGAGAGTTCCTGCCCCGGTAGTCCTTCAGCCTCGGCTTAGGCTTGCAACCCCCGAACCTACAGTTGAATTGCCAAAATCCAGCTAGTAACACGAGTTCCCACCACCGCCACGTGTGCTGCTGACTAATGGGGTCACTCGAGAAGCCGGACTGCACTAACGCTTTCCAGCTTGTTCGATCTGCCAGTTTCCTGCCGCAATTTCCTGTAAACCAGATGAAATGGCTATGCACGAAGCCAGCATCCTTGTTACTGCCAAGGTTTATTGTCACTAGTACGACCATTCACCTTCAGAGCCGCCTTAAACACGCAAGAAACATGAGATTGTCTCGGGGCTGGGGTAGATCTCCTTCTCAGATTCAGAGGTGACCCCGAACAGTCCAGGTGAGCTGTGGACCTTCGAGCAAAAGCAGGGCATCCTGTACATCCACGTTCCGATTCGGATGACAGTATATCGCATGCAGACACGACCCGGGCTTTTCGTCTACGCCCCTGTGGCACCCACAGAGGAGTGTGTCCGATTACTCAGGGAGTTGGAGGAGCAGTATGGAGAAGTCGCATACATCGTTCTTCCCACTGTGGCGGTCGAGCACAAGTACTTTGTAGGGCCTTTCTCTCAGGCATTTTCAAAAGCAGAGGTGGGGGGATTTCATACACAAACACAATCTGCTCTTTGTGGCACTTTCCATGTCTTCCCCACCAGGTCTGGGTTTGTCCTGGGCAGTTCTCTGTGCCGCTGCAGCTTCCCTTGCCGCTTCTCGGCTTCCCCTGGGATGCGCGCCTCCGCACACTTCCGAAAGACGCCAGGAGTACGCTGCCTCAGAAGTGGGTCACCGAAGCTGCCGTGCTAAGACCTCGTTCTGACCGTGCCCAGATATGTCAGTTTCCCTCGAGGCTCGGACCTGCCAGACGACTGGCAGAAGGAAGGGTGTGTGACCCAGTTCATGCTTCTGGACATTTCGAGGAAATTTCGGCTGAAGGGCTGAAGGATGCCTCATAAGGCTCGACTTTCGCATCCTTGGACCTGTTGGCAAAGACCTGAACAACGGTCCTTTTGCTGAAGCGGTCAGAGGCTGAGCGGTCACCCACTCGCGCATGCACAAGGTTGATGCGCAGTTTGCTCTTGCTGTGGCGCTTGGCATTGTGGTCGCATTGTGGTCAGTGCCGAGCACTGTGACTAAGGCTTTCTACATCCGCAGGCCAGGATCTCAGCTTCGCCCTCTCGGCAGCTCTGCCTCTACTCCTCTCTCTCCAGAGTCACTCTTTCAGAGTCGTTTGCCTCAATCAGTCTGAAGCTTGCAGTCCCATGCAGTCCCAGTCTAAAGACCGCACAGGCTCCGGACCATGCTGGTTACAGACTTGGTGGTCTCCGTGCCTGCGGAGCCTCCCGAGATAGTTGCCGAGGCCGCCTACACTTTGAGCAGCCTCTCTTGATCTGGCACTGTCCAGGAAGACTGTTTGTCTTAATTCTCTGTAGCTTGGGCACCTTGATGCCCGAAGATTATCAGAAGTGCGCCACAGGGTTCTCGTGGTGTTTGTTCAGAGTGCGATGATTGAAGTCTGCTGGATTACGCCAAGCTTCTTCGGAAGAGGGCATAATAAGAGTACTAGTAAACACAAAGTTAATAGCAAAAGTAAGAATAATATTTTCAATAATCAGAAGACGTATAACAACAACAATAATAGTAGTACCAACAATAGTAATCTTCAGTTTCGGGTATAGCACCAAAGCGCCCGAGTACTCAGAGGAGCCGAGAGCCCTGGCCTTCCACGCGCGCGACGATGCTACGCAGCCGCTGGAGGCGAGAGGGTGCCGCAGCACGAGAGTTTCAGACTTCCAAGTTGCCACAGTCTATCTATCTATCTATGGGCTGCGTAGTATCCCCTCACCCTGCATTTCTGCACTGCTGTACGATTGTGGAACCAGCAACTGGTTTTGAAAAACACGGAAAGCTCCAACCCCTGACATCCTCGAATCTGGAGCACAGCATATAAGCAATCGCGAATGCACATGGTTTTGAGTCCAACTCGAAGCCAACACGACATATGCAGCATCTAAGTCTCTATGGATGATCATGGTTGTCTATCACCCTGTTCATTCCAGCGCGTACTATCCCCTGCAAGTGCTACAACTTTTGTCGTTCCTCACCAGCTCTGCAGAACTAGTTTGAAGAGTAACCCGGGAAGTTGCAACAACCCATGCTTTCACACCCTCGTCGAAACCCTGTTACAATGTGCCAAAATCCTTGCCTTGATGCTTCGTATTTCATCTTTGTGTGACTGTCTCTAAACCGCTGTATTTCAGTTTTTCCAAGAAGCGCGCTTTAGTCATTAGTCTGGTTCAATCATTCCTTATAGCCAACTCGATTTTGGAACCAAAAGTTTTCCCTCTTGGTACTGTCATGCTGCAATCCCATTAAAGTGTCTGTTTTTGGATGCAGTGCTATGACGTTTTGGCAAACATATAGCTTTCAATAACATCCCTGTGCCCCTATGTGACTGCTTTTTTGTGCTTTTTAAACACAGGTATATCCAGTCGGTAGCCCCAAGCCAAAACTGAAAACTTGCATACTGCAAGCTTAGCAAACGTTGTATAGTGTTTTTCCTGAGGGACGACATGAAGTGTCGCCTCTCGGGCTTGGCACTGTTTCTATATGCTGAGTGATGAAGCCTTTGCTTTCTGTATCAGCATACCTTAACCATCACGTAAAGCCGACTGAAAACCATAAGCCTTCATCTAGAATTTCCGAATTTATGTTCGTGTTCTTGTTAATATTCATTTATTGAAGCTCGAATAGAAGCCAGTGTTCCCAGTCCAGAATGTGATTTCTCGTGATAGAAAAAGTGGTAAACACACACCGAATCACTCCTCGAAAGGGAGTTCATCCATGTAGTTGGAAATAGCATTGTTAGGAAGTTTCTACGTAGCGGGAAACCTAACACTTTGCAAGCTGCAAATTTTTCGCTCACACGCATATTCTTATCGGTTTTGTCTCATCGAAATCCTGCTTCCTTGGAACGATTTTGGAACATGACGCTGCAGCCACTTCGTCTATGAAACTTTGAAGTACTGTCTCTCCCTACAATGACGTCGTATCAGTCGTACCTTAACTTTCTCTGTACCGTGACATTCCAATGTTGACAACACTTACTGACCTACTGTAACCCTGATAGAGCCACGTCATATTCCGGATTTTGATTCCTGGGTGAGTGACATGTAAGCGGCTATTCTTTCAAAATGTCCGGACTGGGCCTTTTTCTTGTAAACCCGATGTATTGGAACGGACAGACCATTATGTAAAGCCCGCTATGTATGGCCTTTCCGCTAAAGTCGGGGATGTGCATATGGTCCTGGGAATTACGTTTGTTACAAAGCACTGCTGAATGCCTCAAAAGATCGAATAAATGCCGATTACCTCGGACCATCTATTCTTCTAGTCCTTGCTTAATTTCATTGCGGTTACATTCCCCTTGAAGCACCGAAACTTTCGAACGTTTGGATTTAGGTGTTGATGAAGTAGCGGGGGCACAGATTTGCATGTAAGGGTTATTGTGTAACGAACAATCAAGGCACCCCAATTTTACAAACCACAACCCTGATATATAAGCCCTGCGCCTCTAACTATGTGTGTTGGTCCCTGCAACTCAAAAACCGTAAGACACACAGCCTTCTTTCTGCACTTTGAGGTGTTAGGGCTTAGGGCTCTGAGGCTTTGGGTTCAGAAGGGTTAGACTTGGCTGATGGAGGGGCTTTAATAATTACCCATACTATTCTGGGGGGTTCCTTATTATGACTCCAGTATACCACACATGTCTAACATCTAGGAAACTCAGAGATCAACGTAAATAATCCCAGGGTTTGCAGCCTTCCTACCCCAAGCCCTATTGTAATTACTACTTGGAGGGTCATGGGACTTAGTAAGTAAGGTTATAAGTACCTTAATTGGGGTTATAAGTATAGTTACCCTAATTATAGCCCTAGTTACTAAGTCCCATGATCCTGCATGTAAGGCCCCCTATATTAGACCACACCGCACTCTTCGAAGCCTCGCAGTCTCCCGATCCTCTCTAAACGCAATGAGACCCTTAAGGGGGGGGTAGGTCCTTATTATGGGCATTAAGGCCCCCTACCCCTACCCCTACCCGCCCGTTTTAAGGGCCCCTATGATAAACCGTACAGTTTACCAATATTGCAGGTTCACCGTCAAAGTGTTGGGTTTGACTTTGACTGCTTAGGGTTTGGCGCTAGGGTTTGGGGGAGACTAAAACTATTGAACCGACTCGCTTGTGCTATACGGCACGGGAGACTTAAACCATTAAGCCAATAAGCCAATCCATTTGGTCTATAGGGCACGGCTGGAGTCTTCAAACTCTGAACGTATTTTGTGGCCTGGTGATAACCTCTGTCTCTGGTTATAACCAGGACACCTGCGTAGTAGGCAGCCCTAGACCCATCACTAAACCATTAAACCAATCCATTTGGCTTACAGGGCACGGGCAGCCCAAACCATTAAACCAGTCCATTTGGCCTATAGGGCATGGGAGAGCCAAACCATTAAGCCAATAAGCCAAGCCATTTGGCCTAATAGGCACAGGAGGCCTACACCAATAAACCATGAAACCAATCCGTTTTCGTATGTTAGGCTCACTGGCGGAAATAATTGGCTTTTTGTGATAATTCAATGGTTTGGTGGTTTAGGCATTGGTCTAGGTTCATAAGGGGAAAAGGATTGGTTTATTGGTTTAGTGGTATGGGGCTAAAGGATTGGTTCAAAGGTTTAGTGGTGTGGGGCAACAGGATTGGTTTAATGGTTTATTGGTTTAGCGGTATAGGGCAAAAGGATTGGTTTAATGGTGTATTGGTTTGGTAGTTTAGGCACCCTATTGGTTGTAACCAGACAGAAAGGTTAAAACCATGCAAAGAAGAGAAATGTTGCGAATTTAATGTTTCCAAGTTCAACAGACAGAAAATGCGGGGGGGGGGGGGGGATAAGGTTACCCATATATATGCACATACATACATACATACATATATATATATATATTTATATTTATAGGTATGTATTTAAACTATATGTATATATACAGATATATATATATATATACACACATGCATATATACATATATAAACAGATATTTATACATATATATATATATATATAGATATACACACATTATAAAATTATTATGTAGAATCAGTTTCCAAAATAAGGCGGCCTGAGAGCATAACTTTCAGATGCACGAGAGCATGTCGTCGCGGCAAGAACACACAAAGAGTTTGCCGGGTTGGAGCCTGCCGGGCACTGGACCCGTGGTCTGCCCTGGTGGGTGTGGCAAAAGGGGATCCTCTCAAGCCTCTTCGCGGATAACCCGAATCACGGCTCTGTCATGTCGCAAGTCGAAAAGGAGCACATGAAGGATGCCATCCATATCCCACCGTCCTTGACGGCGGCGCAGCGTACTGATTAAACTGCCAGTCCCTGTCCTCGTCCTCGTCCCCAAACATGGTAGTGGGTGTACTTCATGTCGCTAGTCTACATTCTGCAAAACAACTTGCCGAGGCATCAGACGAGGCATTGCTTCGTGGCTGGCGCCGGAGCCCTGAAGGGTCCAAGCGTTTCATAGGTCTGCCGTGTGTGTAGGAGTGCCTCCTAAAGTCAAACGGGGCAGCTGTCTCTTGCACGGGTGCCTTTTCCAGGCGGCTAGGCCTCACAGTGTTGAATCGACAGCCCACCAGGTGTGTCTGATTTTGGAAGCTGTTTACACACTGTTATCTAGGCCCAAAGTTGCCCTTCGAATTCGGAACGTGCACCATGTCGCCCGTCTCTTGAAGTTTCTAAGACGGAAGCAGTCACCATGCGTAAGACCCTTGCAGTCATCGGCAAGTTCGTGCAAACATCCGCAAATTCGGATGGAAGTCCGAGCGACTCGCGCAGTGTCGGAGTGCCCGTGGGTGATCGCAGTCCGACAACCCCGAGAGTTTAGCAGGTTTGGTATTCTAAGGGTTTTCGTTCTTCATACGCCAGGTTTCAGTCAGCACAACTATGTCCTAGGCGTGGCCGCGTAGCCTCATGCCACTTAGATACCACACGAGCTTTCGGACAGATTGGCATCATTGTCAGATCCGAACGAGTCTTTGTCGCCTTCTGTGCCCAGGACGAATGGCTCTGTTTGCACTCTTTTTCCAATCATCTGCGATCGAGCCCGAGCCTGTGTTGCGAGCTCAGCTGGGATCTAGAGATGACATGCAACCTACATTCCTGGGAGGCTCGTGCTCTGCTCTTCCCCCAAACAGAAGTCAGCGCGCCGTACACTTGCAGCCACCTTGAGCTGCAAGGTCCAAAGCTGTTGAGGATGCGCTGAACTCCCCTGCGAAGGATTTGGGCCAAGGTCTCAGTGAAAAGCAGGTTCAGCCTTCATGCTGCCTGTGGCTGTGAGAGACCCTGCATGGTCGTCCTCGGAAGCATTTGGATCCGATCCATGTTCAATACTGTCTTAAGAAAAGCTTGAAGCGTGACAGAACATGTGTTTGCTTCAGCCTCCGTGGTTGAGCCCTTCGTCGTTCTTCCTAAACTTGGGGCCCAGGCAAGACAGACCAAGTTGAGAGGCATGACTTCGGAGCTCCCAGTACGCCCGCAGAACTGAAGCGTCCTTATCCGTGCATCAACGGAGACGTGGAAGATAACAGGGTCACCAAGGAATATGCGTCCAAGTTCAATCGGAGCACCTTGAGGGTACACCCTGTCCAAGTCTCAGGCTGGGGAGGCCTACTGCCATGGAGCTTTCGGGAGGACGGGCGAGTTGCGGAACGCATCGATTCAGTTGCACCGGGTCTGGGGGCAGCGCCCAACAATCAGAATAGCTGCTTTGGTGCAGGACTGGAAGAAGTCCTTCGATGCTCTTCGGGGACCCTTCGGGAGTGGCTGACTGAGAACTTCTCGCAGTGATGGCTCAAAGCAGTTGGGGGTCAGCAATTGTTTATCGCTTCAGGGCTAGGCATCTGCAGGATCTGTTGGCTGCTGTTGGAGAGGCGGGGGTCTGGTGGTGGCACCGATCCTGTCGGAACTGATCCTGAATCGCTACTTGTCCTCGGATGCCGGGGCCCCGTCCACTCTTTGCTCACAGGTCGCTACTGCTAGGGCATGTTCAGGTTGATGCTGTCACTTCCACGAGGCAAGAAAGTGCAAGAACCTCCGTCGAACTGAGAAGTCTCTTCGACACATCCTCGAGAAGTCCCGACTCCGCTCACCGCGTGACCAGCCCCTGTGACGAGCTTGCGTGCCAGAAGGTCTGGCCTTTCGTGGAAGACATCGTCAGCTCGTGGGACGGGAACATGTTTTTCGAAGTAAGCGATGGCAATGTGAAATTTCTCACCACAGACCCTTCAACAAAAAGACCGCAAAAGACCCACTAGAAACAAGCCTGCAATAAACCCACTAGAAGCGCAACCAGATGACCTACTAATGGATACATCACAGACCCGAACCCCTCCACAAAAACCCGGACCCAAGACAAATTCAACCACGGAGCCTAATCTCCAATACAAAAATAACCATATGCAGGATTTGAGGAAGTCAAAGAAGGAAAACAGTGATTCGCAACTGTGCCAATCTCACGCATCCGGGAGGATTTCGATCGTGTGATCCCTGCGCACTTCGAGGCTCCGGTACCTGCGTCTCCCCAGGACAGTTGGGTGGACTGTCGCGGCATAGTTGGAAGAGCTGGGGATTCAGGGCAGACCTCCGACCTAAACACCAAAAGCCAGATATCGGACCTAGCGAGGCCTGCAACATGTCACGCTCTGTTGTTCCGCCCGTCCGGCCCAGCCAGCCCACCAACCAAAGATCTGCGAACAAATCCGAATCTCATGTCCGCCTCTTGCAACTGCTGTTCCGGTTGTGTTCCTGCTTTGACTGAATCCTGCAACTGAGGGACTGATCCTCGCACATGCTTGAACTCGACGGCTGAGAGCATGCATTGGCCGCATGGATCGCGCGTGCTTGCCACTGTCGCAAAGCTGATTTTGCCCATTCCCGTCCCACATGAAGCTGCATCCTGATTGTAGGACTTCCGCAACGCCTTCCGCCGATCTTTCGGCGAGCCAAAGGCTTCGGGGCCATTTGACTCCGTGGCCAGCGGGGCCCCAAGGGCTCTGGGGAACCACTTCTTCGGGATCCTTCAGGAGAAGGGGATCGAAGCAGCTTAGGTTCTTCGAATCCTCGAAGGGATACATGTTGTGAGTGCTGTGATTGAGCACGAAAAGCACCACCGCTGTCAGCTCGATTTGGCCAACCGCGGAGTGCCATGTCGCCATTCAGGCTCAAAATTTGGGCGCCTCCGCAAAATGCAGGAATGCCTCTTTTTGAGGACCGGTACAACAGCTCTTTTCGCTGCTCTCCTGGGGCAGATTGGTGATGGTCAGCTCAGTGAGGCATGTCGGACGCTTTGTTCTCCGGTCGAGCATGATCGAAGCTCGCTGGCTCCTGCTTCTTTCTGCGCAGGTCTGCGGACCGGATACCTGTGCTCTTTGTTGCAGTGCGACTAACTACAACTGCAGCTTGCCAGGCAGGCTCTGGCTGTCCTCAGTGTAAAGTATGCACGAGCCCTTGAAGTTACAGATCATGGAGAGAGCAGCATCCGCCATCCGCCAGGTCAGGAGTTTCTGATCGCTGGGCAGTACACTCACCTCACGGCCAACTACCTCTCCTATGCCACCGAGACATCTTCCCCGCACTTCCGGGTGCGAGCAAGGGAGTTCCAGGCACCGCAGCGGCGAAGCGGAAAGCATGTCATCAAATCTAGCGACCAGACTGAGAGGGATGCTGCTGCAGTATTCTCACACTCATGCAACAACAGGCCTTGAAAGCAAAGTGGGAGTTACTCGTAGAGCTCGCTGCGAGGAGTGCACCGGTGGCCGCATCATCTTCTCGGAGGCACTGAACGTCTGGGAGGATCCCATCAGGGACCTGGGCACCAAGGCCGGTGAACGCCGAATCTGAGCTCAGTCCCGGTCTCTTAGAACTTGGCCAGGACAGCCCAGGTCTCGGGATCTACCATGCATACATGATGAGTTATTCTCACTACCCGGCGGCTTGGTTACGGAAAGCTCTGAGGGCCGGGTTCAGCCCCTTCCCCTTCATCTCCCCTTCCCCTTCTTCCAAGGAAGCAAGCTACCTGGGACTGGTGGAGCCGCTTCATCCGCGCCTCGCCCGGTCCAACGAGGCACTGCAATGGGAGAACGTCTTCCCCAAGGCGGCCGAGCAGTGCTTTGTCCTTGCCTTGAGGGAATAAGTCAGTGCCAGCGGTCCCGGAGTCGGCGCGAACAAATTATGCCTGGAAGCCGGCAGGTTCAAGCGATGGGACGCTACAGGAGATCTCTGACTTTCGCAAAGCTTTGCAGCAGCTGTTTGTGCCTGCAGGTAGGCAGAGTTTCGTAGTTGCTGCCCAGATGCAACAGCGATTCGTGTGCAGGAGAAATGGCACCGACCAGTTGGACTTCCTGCTGTACGATGGCGACTTCTTCGTCCCCATCATACGATTGGACCTCCTAGAAAGGGACAACCTTCCACTCCCGAACACGTGGGATGAAGTTCTGGCCCTCGCTGAAAGTCCCCAGGCTCAAGATTGAAAGTAGTGATGCTATCCAAAGCTTTGACTGGGCACAAGTCTAGAGCAAGAAGTTACCGGTACCCGACGGCGTATGTGAAGGTTTGGGGGAGGTGTTTGTGCAGTGTCATTTTGAGTAGCAAGTGTTTCGCATGAGTGCGACGAAGCCTGCGATTCTGATGATGCCGCAACCGTCGCCAGCACCGCAGATGCTGTCGATCTTGGTGGTGTCGATCTCAACCCGCATACTAGCCAAAGATTGCGATCCATCCTTGGAATTTCATTGCAATGAGATCGCAACACGGAGCCAGCTCAGTGGCCCGAACAGCAACTCCTGTCAATGCTTGACCAATCCAATCGCGAAGTAGTCAGCTCATTCCTTGTCAGTGCGACGCCTGTCCAGGTGACAAGTTTTGAAAAGTGCCCGTTGTGAAAGTCAGGAATTCGCCACCGCATGGCGAGTATCGTTTTGTCTCCGCTCAAGTCCCGTGCGTTTTCCACGTCTTGCATAGGCATACATGAACAGATGAACACATGCTGCAGCAGTAGCTGCGTCGGCAGGGTGCCGGCAGTTGCAGCAGCAGAAGCTGCATTGCTGTCTGGCTTGCAATTGCAGCAAAGCAGCAGCAACAGCCACAGCAGCAGTGATTAGCAACCGCACGCAGACAGTACTTGGTGTCGTCCTGTCAACACTGTTCGTGCTTGCTTTCTGTCGGCTTGAAAGACTTGGCTTGAGGATACAACGGCACCGATCTCAACGAAGATGGCGAGCCAGATTTTGGCCTGTGCCATTTTCCTCGAGAGGGTACTGGTGCCTTTGCACTGTGGCCGCAACTGGAAGGCCGAGGCTTCATGTTGAGTGGAGGACACTGATTGCCTTTACAGTCTGCGCAGCTGCCCTGAGCTTCGAGGACTGGTGGTGGGCAGAAATCGTGTATGCGATTTGGGCGACCTTCGCGCAGAGCAAGGACAGTATGCCATAGCTTGAGGTAGTTTCTTCGTTCAGCACACAAGACGGAAGCACGGTGCGGTCTTTGGAGGACACTTCCCAGGGCTTCCTCTTCCATCCGCAGACCATGGTGCCGAACCTGAACACGGCCGGCTTCCGGGAAGCTGCGCGGATAATGAAAGCCATGTGGCAGGTGCGACGCAGCGTCGAAAATGATGCACGAGTGTCTGTTGGGGCTTGCTATATATATTATATATATATATATGTATATATATGTATATCTCATTTGCTTTCAGTTACAGTTGCCCTCTAGTGGTGCAGCTGCACTGGAATGATATACACACATATGTATATAGATAGACTTCGTTGAAAATTTGTTGTCACGGAACCCAGTCCCCCAGCCCAAGCCACGCGAGATTCCACCAAGAGGTCGGTGCAGATGGCTGCATTAGTGAGTCCTGGCTGCACTTGCACCTGGACGAGAGGCTGGCACGGCACGGGAGTTTGTTTTCCTGCTTAGTGGGCACCTCGACGTTTGCAATATGAAAGCCTTTCATTCAGCCTCCGACCTAAGGATAACTTCATCACAGGACCCGGGGGGTAGAGATGAGACTGTTGATGTCCATATCGAGCTCAGACATGCTGCTGTGCTTGAACTCGGTATGCGGTACACCCCGAGCATCGTGGCAGTCGCTGCGGTTGCATGGTCGATAAACTTTAAAGTCTGCATACGTTGTTGAACTATGCTGTCACGGACACAGCACTCGCTGCCTTGTTGGGCTGAACACGTTCCGAAGTGCAAGTCAGTTGCGAACGACCTTTCTGTTTGACCCATCGCGGGAGCCAAACATTCGTGCCGGAGCATGCAAGAAGAGGTGACACGGCTCACGTGGCTATCCTGCCAGCATACTTGATCTCACACCAGCCAGGCTTCGTCCTCCATCTGCGCTCGGATCGTTCGTCTGCCGCAGCATCCGTATGCTGAGCATTGTTGGGGGGGGAGGGGGGTGGACTCAGATGCTCTGTTTTCTTTTAAGCATGCAAAGCCCTTCAACTGCCCAACCAAGCGTCACTGGCAGCCTGGGAAGAGTCGAATTCCAATCAGTTCCAATCCTCCGGCCTTGCATATACCTCATCAAACTCAAGAAACGAGACTGACCGCGCAGCTGCACTCACATCAGTCTGCCCACACTGGAAACTTCGGATCCTCCTGTGCTATGAAGAGTCTCGGCAGGAAGATGTGCCATCGGCTTTGGGCCTCCAGGTTGCTGGAAAGGCAGGAAGAAGGGTATCACTGGTGACATTTGAGCTCTATGAGCGTGAGTGTTCAGAACATTGGGAGTCTTTCCTGATAACGTTCATCATACACTAGCTAGACTCGCAGCTAGACTTTGGGCGACAAGACTCCATAGTTGAGAGAGATGCTGGGGCACTTTATGCGTCTGTCATAGTACAAAAAGCACCGCGTTACGTTGATCCCCGATCGGAGTCGACCTGGGTCCAGGCATCTTCCTGAACGGCATCGCGCGGAGGAATTCAAGCGGCCACGTTCTCTGGCAACCCACCATGCAGGACAGAAATGCGATAGCGATTGCTCACAGTGTTTGGAAGCTGAGTAGGAAGCGGCTTGTGCATCATCGATGTTTTGTAGGCTGTGAATCATACGACATCTTGATGTCACCCACGACGTGTTGAACATTCTGCACCGAATTCGGAGCAAGACCTCCAGTCCCCTTCTCCATGCCGTGCAGGACGGCACCTATGCAGACCCCTACCGTTTCAAGCCCTTCGGCACCACGAGGGTGGAGATCGATGGCTTTCTACAGGACTCGTTGGACTTCGTGGAGAATGCTGTAGCATTCCTGCAGAGTGTTCAACGATGTGGCAACAGCATACACCGAAACCCACCATGGGCAAGCGAAAGGTGCCTCAAAAGAGAGCATTGGCCGTGTCATGTATGTGGCCAAACAGAACAAGCGGCAGTACAGAGCGCGATAGAACAGCATCAGCAACAGCAATCGAGAAAGACTTGGGACCCAGCGCGAGCATCAACAGCTTCCGAAGCCCGCCAAAGCAAGAAGTGCCGGGACGAGACAAAGCAGATCTTCCCTGACAGAAACATGAGGCAGTCGTTCTGTATCTGAACTCAAACTTGAGCGTGGAAAGCCTCTTCCGGTCAGGACTGCACCGAGCAAACCTGTCCTCATGGGGAGCTCATCCCTGTTAGAGGCCATCATGGTCTGAATGCCGCTTTCTTCAAAGGCTGTGTTTGCAGCGCCGGTAGTCATCCCTGATCATACACAGCCACAAGAACTCTCAGGATCGTGCAAGAAATCTTCCAGTGTCTCCACTTGCTGGACAACGAATTAACAGAGTCCCATTCTTCTGGAGCGGCGGCTTGGGGCTTCTGATACGGAAGTCCGCGCCAGATGCGATAAAAGAGGCCTGGCATAAAAGTACCGCAGCCCTGACCAAGGCCAATCCGTCGGTTTCCCAACTAACTAACAAAGTCGCACTCCATCCCTAGTGAAGGTAATGAATGTGAAGACCATCTTACGCGAGGGTGTGTCAATGCGTGAT